GAGTTCCCTTAGAGGACTGAACTAAGCCCATACTCAATTGCCTATTTACCAATTTATCCTTTGCGATAAGCGTGCTTGTGATTCCTTTGACATGCGAATATCGTGCACATTTACTTAATTATGCGCCGGCAACCGAACCGATTGCACTTTATCGGAATAAAGCACGCACTCGAAAAGGTCATCAGCCGTCATCGATGGATCGGATCGGGATCCTTGGACTAGTTTATGACCCAATTATGCCAAAGTGTCTGGCAGTTGGCGATGCGTTTTCGCGCTATTGTAAGACCGCCGCCACTTCAGAGGCCCCAGATCGGGGCTGTAACCATGATTTGTTTGCTTGACTGGGCTGACACGAAGCCAGAAGCCAAATGGCACACGCACACAAGTCGATGAAGCCAGCCAGCCCCTTTGTCAGGAAAACTTTGCACCGTATACTGGGAAAATCACAGTGCAGAAATAACAAAATTTTAAGTGATTTAAGAACGACTTATCTTTTAAAGGGTTTATCCAGAATAAATATTTTAAGTAACAATACATGCAAGTCAGATGATATATGATTTTTAGAATTATTTCTTAATAAAAATAAATTTTAACTTCCATATTTTTGAAAGCACCACAGAAACCAGTGTGTTAAAAAGCCCTTATATGGGTGTGCAAAAGTAGGCAACGATATATGAGGTTATTTTTTCACTGCATACTTTTAGACATCTTTATGAAAGACTTTCGAGTGGATAGATTTAAAACCCTTTATTATTTCGATGAACTTTCTATAATATTTAAACTATCAAAAAATGTCTTATTAATATCTCCATTTCCAAAATTAATTTTTAAGCTGCAGTAAATTTTTGTATTTTTCTTAGTACCTTTTGAAGTTCTTTTACTTCCAGCACGCCACATTCTAAGCCGAAGAATTTCTTTTTCTGATTTTTCGTTCTCTGCATAGCATAGTCTTATTGCTTTCGATTTGATTGCTGCAATTGCTTGGCAATAAATAAATGAGAGAGGCGTTTGCAGTTCCAGAATGCTGTCTATTACGTGCCTGTGCCTGGCAAGAAGGTAGTTAGAATCCCCCGAAACAGTGAAACGTAGTTTAAATGGATTCCGTAGCCCCGTTTTACGTGTTGGGTCACTGCGGCGGTGGTGACATTTATGCTATTGCTATCCAAAAGCTGTTATTTGCGCCTCCGGCTGTGGATTCGTGGAAATCGAGTAGAGGAAACCCTTTGGCCCTTTGGCGCTTTGGCCGACTGCCAGGCAGCGGTTATTCTGTCATAAAGGCGACTATTACGGCGTCTCTTGATGTCGTCCTGGATGTCGGGGAATATCCTATAATCAGCAGCAACGGCAACTAATGGCAGCACTTAGGCCCCTCGGCCGGGACCTTCTGGCCGGACTCTCATGAAACTGTGATGAGAACCAGGTCGAAATGATTTCGGCATACTGTTAAATTCATTGGACACATTCCCGTCCTTTAATGGCCATTTGCTGTTGCCAAATGTTGCGGATCCTGATGACGCAGCTTCATTAAGGTGTCCTTTTTCTTAATTTTCCCGGCTGAGCATGGCCAGGGATTATTTTACTTCTCGTATTTTCATTAAGATAGGTATGCATAAGTTTGCAAGGATATCAGACTGTGGTTTAGTTTTTAATTAATTATTTCAAAGCTGATTTGTGGGAAACAAAAAATTAAGGGTGTCTAAAAGTATGCAACAATATGTGCTTAGTTTTGTACGGCATTCTTTTAGACCGCTTAATAAATGATTTCAAAATCCCTTTCATTTTTGTTGTATGTTTCTTAAACTTTCAATACCAATAAATTATCATTATTATTTTTTTTTTTTTCTGTAAAAGTTCCAATCTCGAATCACTTATTCAAGCCTGTCACGTCGAATACATTTTGGCTCAGCATTTACAACATTTAACAATTAGGGGCAGCTTGTACCAGCGAAAAGCGGAGCTTTAGCAAAATGTTGCAAATCATAATCACAGTTTTCTCATCTTTTAGGCATTTTTTTGCTTTCTGCGCGAATTTGTTTGCATTTTGCCATGATTTTTGCAGCTTCGCTTTACTTGAGCACTCATAAATTATGCAAGAGTCGTCCTTAGGTTATTTTTTGTTCGCTTTCTGTTGGCTTTTTGGAATTTATGATGCCAACTTTAATCGCGAATATTTCGCTTTCTGTTTGTATTCCGTCGAGTTGGTGATGTTGTAAAGCGCCCGAAGTGTTCGCCACCAACATTTTTGTCGCAATTTTTGTTGTCTGGCCAAAAACTTTCTACTCTTTTTTGGCGTTGTTAATAAATTGTCGGTTGAAAAGTCCGAAACAGGAGTCAACTTTTCTATGACTGTGTTTTCTTTTTATGGATATAAAATGAACGTGGCTCGAGGCAATTGGGTAGGTGGAAAAGTACCCCTTGCAGTTGAAGTTTTCTTAATGCCTTTCACAGTTGCCATGGTGCAGTTTGTTAAGTAAGACACTTCACAACTGAATATGTTACTTTTTCGGGGGACTTCTACTTCTATTTGTCTGCAATCCGGAAACTTAAAATAAAGTTTTTGAAGTGATTTTCATTGTATATTTATATTATGGGGAGTAAAATGCTTAACACAAGTATTTGATTTTAACTGCATAGAGTTTGGAAATATAATTTTTTAAAACGTGATACTTTCTTAGTCATTAAAGCACTTGTTTAATAAAAACACCCAAAGTTTAGTACAGCTTTAAGAAATCTGAATATGTTTGCCTTCCTTCAAATATTTAATGGGAACATGAACTGAATTTAATGTTTCAATTGCTTCAGCCATCTTAAACGTTTTTGGCCCGTTGGCAGGACTGAAAGTAATTTTAATGTAATTGGCATTACGTGAGGGGGATTTGTTTTGGTATTTTTGGCATATCATTTTCCTACAAATCTGATGCCAGGCACAACCCATAACCACCCATAACAAACCATAACGGGAATACCACCCCCACCCCGTTCAATCACATCGAACGAGCATAAAAAATAAGCATTGCCTACAACTAGGCGCCCACAATGATGTCAAGGCAGGTCAACTTTAGGAAAAAAGGAAAAAAAGCCCCCAAACGAAAAAAATATACATATATCTGTATGGGGGATGGGAAAACAATCGAAATCAGCAGCCCCCTTATCACAAATCAACTCAAATTACGAACTCAAACACGCAAAAAAAAAAATGAAAGCCGAAAAGGAAATATTTGTGCGTGCATAAAACAAAGGCGAAAACAACAAAACCTACACACACGAAAATAAATGAAATTCAATAGGAAAAGCCGAGGAAAATCACTACAAAATTTGACTGCGCAAATAAAGTAATATACAGTCAATAAGGCAAATCGTCAGACTTGATTTGGATCATTATTACGCATACGCCGCGTTATGCAAATCAGACAATTTTCCGTTTTTCTGGGGTGAAACAGCACTGGTGAACTGGATATAATTTATAATTTATAGAGGAAATCTCGGTCGAAAAAAGTAGCAAACTGTCTTATCAAGTTTGACGAGGCAGTTTCCACCAAGTTGGCAAAGTTTTAACTGATTTTTGATTAAAATATTATCCCATTACGGCGGCAGGAAGTCAAAGTAAACCCAGACCAAAACTTTTCCGGAATTTCCCGTCATTCGCAAAGTCTAACATATTGAGAGTCATGAAGAACCTTTAATTAAATTTTATTTATTTGTTGTTTCACCAAATTGACAGATGACTTTGTTTTTCGTTTTTGATTAGTTTTTCTGTGGGTTATGGGGGCTCTGAAAATCTCTGTGCTTTTTATAAAAAATATACAGTCTTGCCATTTTTAGCAAGGCAAATCTATGGCAGGAAATTCATATTGTGTGTACTTTGCTGAAAAGCTTGTTTTTTGCCATTCACAGATTCATAGAAAACATACAATGGAAAGGGGAAGCTTGGTTTTTTTATGCATGGCAAGACATAAAAAATGTTTTTGTTGATCTACTTCAATCTAAGATATTTGTATTGGTGTTAGGAAACCAGATAATAGATCTAAAAGATTTCTCTTTAAATATTTGCTGGGTAGAATGGTAATATTAAAGTAATGAGGACGCCGTTTTAATTGGTATTGGTAAGCAATGGAAGATTTTATTTCAGATCTGAAATAACAAAAGCACTTGCACTTAAAAATAAGCAAACATATTTTTTGCTTATTAAAGTTTGTTTGCCCAAGGCTTTGTTTTTCTATTATTGCCACTTTTTTGCCTTCGTTTTCAAATTTTCTTTTATATTTTCCGATGTCACGTGCAAGCGTTCAGCTCTTGTATTTGCCTAGTGCCATTTTGTGATTGTTTGCATTGTTTCAGGACCAGGACAAAGTCACTTTTTGTGCGGCCTGTTGTCTTTCTTTATCTTTCGTTGATAGAGAACTCACTTGGTCTTGGACCACCAGCCAACGAAGGGGACAATGGACTGCCAAAGGGATGGCCAAAGGAAATCCTTGAGGGTTCCCTATGAGTGCTGTGTAGGCTGAAGGACTTCAACCCTTGTCGGCCTTTGTCGAAAATCTGAACTTCCCCTTAAAGAGCAAGTGTTGAACGGAAAAATGCTTCAACACTCCATTAATTTTTCCACTGAAAAATTGGGGGAGAAAACAGAAGGAACTAATCTCGTTGCCCAATTGACTAGACTGGCATTAAGCCGGATAAATTCCCTGAAAATATCTGAAAATTGCGCTTCGACTTTACTGCAATTGTATGATAAGCGTTCAATTACTCTCATGCCAAAGAGCTCTTGAGTCGAGTAGAAATCTCCCAGGATAGCTTTAAGTTTTCCAAAAAATTTATGAGTGCCCCACTCGATCAGGTTTTGTTCCTGGGAACAAGCAATCGCAATCCCAGATTCCCATTTAATTATTTACAAATAAAAAGCACTCGAGAGTTCCCAGTAGGTTGTGATATTTATAGCAATGCTCACGTAGGTTGGGTAATATATTGTCGCACAAATAATTCAACGGGTTGACACTTACTACAGAACTAGAGCCCAAAGTGTTGTTCCAACGTTGATTTATGCAAATTATTCAACAGCTGTTCCGCAAATATTTGCTTTTGCTTAATGCATTATTATAGGTTAAATCTCGTCAGTGTTGGACTACACGATTCTGGTTTCATTTACATTTTGATGGATTTTATGGAATTAATGGTTTTGTTTATTTTTTAATATCTCACATAATACTGTGTCTTATTTATAAAGCATTTTTAATGTGTTTTTGACGAGTTCAAAGGTTATGAATTAATTTAACGAGCTTTCTGTTTCGATTAAAAAGCATATATTATTTAATTATTTTGATATTATTTTTGCAAAAATGTTTAAGATTTTCGCGTTCACTATATGTTTGATATACCTATATAAGGTATTTTCTTACATAAGATAAAACTTGGATAGCCTAAATATTTTAAAGCACTTAATTATTGCCTAAAGAGTTCTATCTTTTGTTGATTCTAAAAACGTTTTTTAAGAAAATGTATTTACTACAACAATCTTTTAATTAAAAAAATTTTTTAAAATAATTCAAATCGCTTTTATTTAACAGTCAGCTTTATTTCTTTTTAAATATATTTTTTTATTCATATAAGTGTTGTTAAAAAATCTTTTACCACACCGTAATTGATTTAATACTTTTTAATATATTTGAAAATATTTACTTATTAATTTATTTGAAAATAATTTGAACTGCTGTAAATCAGATAAATCACTGGAAATCAGCTAGTAACGCAGCCGCAGCGCACGGAACGCAAAACGCAACTGACACGAGTGCACGGGAAGTCAGCAGAACGGTTCAGTTCAGTTCAGTTTGGGATGGTTCGGTTCGGCTGGGGATATATTCTTTATGTGGAGGGACCGAGCGACGACGATGCGAACGCCACCGAGAGGCGATGAAGACTGTGCGCGAATGGCGCGCCAGAATCCTCAGTTTCGGGTCGCTTAACTGGCAGTTACTGCTGCGTTGCCAACTGCTTCCTGTGGACTTTGTCTTCGTAATCCAATCGCAAAAACACTCGGTAAAGTCAAAATGCCCGAGCAAACACAATTGAATTCTGCAAAGGGACTCTCTTAAACCGGAAGTGGCTCTCTTAGGTCCTTTTCTGCTGCGCATGCGGCCACCGGAAACAGCTGTTCCTTGCAGCCCATCAGCTGTTGTCCCCCATTTTTGTTTATGTTTTGATGCCATTTCCTTTTGCCTTTTACTTCGGAGTTTCCTTTTCAGCTTTCCTTTGCTTTTTTTCTTAAGGCGAGGTTAAGGTCAGGCCAAAATGTGACAACAGATGGCGCTTTGTCGACGTGAAGGATAGAAAAAAGTAGTAGAAGGACACGGGTCTCAGGAGCACTGGTAGTAATGGTAATGGCTTCAGGTAATTTATGCACTGTGGCCAACGTGGCGTATGCGTAATACTGCGAAGTACTAGTAACCCAGTAAGTTATAAATCATCGTTTGAGTTAAAGGTGCGAGTAGTTCGTAGGTTAGACAAACTTTAATTTATGAATAGCGGCTAAAAGAGTTGCGGCTGTGTGGCTTATATTATCAAGCCTCAAAGGGATATTCTAATTTATGTCGCTAAGCGTGCATGCCATATGTGTAATCCTATAAATAAATAGTTTTGACTAATAAATCATGGCTCCAGTAATTTATGTTCTAAGTCAGAGACAATGCAAAATTATTAGACATGGAAAGCATGTGATAATCTCTGACCTAAGTTAATTTGGAAGCCAATATTCATTATTTATACGTCTTACATTCACATTTATATCATTGTTTCATATCAAAATGAGTAAGTAGCTTGGAGATTAATCAAACTTAAATGTATGATGTAATTTTTCTTTGCAAAGATCTGCAGAATGAGCGAATTAAACTTTTGAATAAAATAGCATTTCTTCAGATTTGTTAGCCTAAAGCCTTTTTTAAAATCGGAAACACAATTAGATTGGTTTCATCACTATATAACAAATCGTACTGAAGGCAAGGAAACGTAACATTGGCTATTCCCATGTCGAGAATCCTAAATCCCAAATCCAGTAATTTATGTTCTAAGTCAGAGACAATGCAAAATTATTAGACATGGAAAGCATGTGATAATCTCTGACCTAAGTTAATTTGGAAGCCAATATTCATTATTTATACGTCTTACATTCACATTTATATCATTGTTTCATATCAAAATGAGTAAGTAGCTTGGAGATTAATCAAACTTAAATGTATGATGTAATTTTTCTTTGCAAAGATCTGCAGAATGAGCGAATTAAACTTTTGAATAAAATAGCATTTCTTCAGATTTGTTAGCCTAAAGCCTTTTTTAAAATCGGAAACACAATTAGATTGGTTTCATCACTATATAACAAATCGTACTGAAGGCAAGGAAACGTAACATTGGCTATTCCCATGTCGAGAATCCTAAATCCCAAAATTAGCGTTGCTTAAATTAAGAGTGGCTCAAATAAAGTCTCTTCTGGTTAAACTAAACCCAAAAACATCTGCCAATCTGTGGGCTACGATTGTAGCCGTTTACCTAGCCCCAAATAGCTGGCCATTTGTCAGGCAAACACCCGTAGATTTTAGTGGCGGCTCAGACGCGTCTGTGTGTTGAATTTATGGCCGGTTCCCTTTATGCAAATGGGGCAAAAGAAAGTGCCCAAGTGGGAGGGAGAAAGCAGAAAGTGTCGCCTGCCATGTTCCAGGCGCATGACAATCACTTTTGCTTTTACTTGTTTAATCCTTTAAGACGTTGTCTGTCGCCCCACAGGCAGTCCTTGCTTTTTGTCCTTCTGCGTCTTGTACTGCTGTTGATTTTGGCCAAATTGAATTTATAATGCTGGCGGAGGGTACGCCTCTATATGCCTCCGACAATTAGGACCCCAAAATGCGATGTAGGCACAAAGGTTCCCCATAACAAATACATACGCAGCTGCCTTCAAAACATTAGTAGGTACCATACTAACATTTGAAATTACTTCGCTGGAATTCTTGTTACCAAGATAATTCATTATTAACTTATTCGCTATAAGAATTATTCTTTAATTACTTCTCAGAAATCTAACATTACATTTATTTGAACACAGCTGGTAGATATCAAGTCTTTTTGGCTAAAATGTGGTGCCAGACTTTCCTCGTTAGTGTTTCCGCTTTGGGGAGAAATGCCTCCAAAAAAAATACCTCACAATGTGCCAACGTTTCTCATCTTATTTTCGGGTGCTGCTCTAGAAACCTAATAAAGGCGAAAAGTTTTCCCAGCTGCAGGAAGTGGGTGGAAACGGCAGAAACTGCATAATTAGTGAGCAAGCTGGGTCAAATGCAAATCATGGAGAAAATGATGATTTTCCATGGAAAGATGCAGCTGCTGAGGAAGCAATGCATTACTGTGAAATATTAATATAAAGATTAGATTTGTCGACTTTTGCTTTAATTATATTTAATGGGCAAGACGTGCCAAAATTAGGTTTTGAACTGAAAGTAGTGCAGACTAAGAATTTTATCTTGTATCAAAACTAAAATTATTTCTAATTCAATAATTCAGCAACAAACACTTCATGGCGGCCAATTAAAAGCTAACCGAATTCCCATAAAATATTTATTCTATTTATTGGTATCTACGAAACAGAAAAACAACTTCCATCGCCTGGCATGTTTTTCAATTAAATAAAGCAATTTATCGACGCATATTTCGCGTATATCTGCAGCCATAAATAATGAAACAAAAACTGGAATGTAAAAAACAAATATTTTTGGTCAGCGAAGCGAAAACGTATGTAAAAGTATAGAAAGTCAGCCAACTAAAAAAGGGAAAGCCAAAAAAATAAACATAAAGAAAACAAAAAAGAAGCGATTTTTTAAGTAATTTAATCATGGTTAGTTTTATCAAATACATGCATATACACAAATTCAAACATTGATATTTGTTGAAAATATATTCGTTATATTTTTAAATCCGTATCCTTAATTTAAATTTATTTGTTTATTTATTCAAATCAGATTTATTTGAGAGTGCATTGATTTGCCGTGCTATTCTGTTCGAATTTTCCGACTCATATTTATTTAGCTGTTTCGCTTGGTGGCTCTAAACGAGTGTGCATTGTGCTGACAGCTTGGCCACAATTTATTTTGGCCGCAAATATGTGTATGCCAATCAACTTGGCCGAAAACAGAAGCTAGGACCACAACATTTTATTCTGTACGTTTAATATTGTGCTTATTATGATAATATGCTAAACATTTTTGGAGCTTAGAAATGCATTTCATCAGTGCTTTATTTTTAATGATCTAATTACAATATGATCCGAGCAATAAAATAGTGACAACCCTTTTAAAGATGTAATAATCTTTAAACGAGATGGCGTTGTGGATTTATCAGTCCATTTATATAATGTTTGCTTTAAACAAGTTGTCATTTTGCCACGAAAGGGGGAGAAGTGCATTCTTGTTTACAAACAAACCGTCAGCTGAATACTAAACATTTTCCTTCCAGCAAGAAAAATCGACGATTCGAAATGTGTCAGCCAATGTTTTGCCCCTATTTCAAACAGGAATTGGCAATGAAAGTCAATAAATCCCAAGAGGGCAGCGTGGTGTTTCTGTTTTCTGGCGTTGAGATAGGGTGAATAACTTTTCACTTTGCAATATTATCATTTCACTGGTTTATTCAGCATTTTCCACGGTGACCCAACCCCCACCGATTTTCCAACCTCTCTTGTAACTACAAAAAAAGGACCGAATTCCCAGCTGTAAACAAAAAGCGATATAAAGCGTATAAAACAAAATTGCCGCCCCCTGACAATATCCATATCCGACAGGCGAAGCCAAAATAATTTACAATAACAGGCAGCAATAAGTCGTGGCGATTTCGATTTGCATTTTATTCGATGCGTTGGCGTTTACGGCCACAAGGACACTTGCCACTTGCTAATTCAAATATAGGAAAAGTACCCGGAAAACCCATGAAAAACCAGCAAAACGGAGGCGTGGTGGCACATAAAGTTATGGAAAAGCTCAAATGTACAAGTTGTCACAGGCAGGAAAAGCCACAGGAATGAGTTACCACGTTTTTCGAAATTAAAAACGCTGAAAAGGCAAACACAAAAGGCAAATATAAACTCGACGGGGCTGAAAGCTAAGATTGTATAAACAACATAAAGAATAAGGAAACAAAATCCGACGGTAAATATTCCAGTTGTTGGTAGCAACGTGCTGACCCACGTAGCCGAATTTGCTTTAATACGGCTGAG